TATTAGTATTGTAATCACTGAACTACTGAGTTTAAATATTATTAAAACTATGGTTCAGTACTGAGTATATACAGCAAGGGGCAGTATTGGACCAATACAAGGCTCCATTGACTGGCATTATAAGATTTTAAACATTAATATTTCAAAAAGTATAAGTTGTACTGGCACCAAAAGGCATAGCCATCATTTGGCACAGGGGCTTTACAGATATAAATTACAATGGCAGCTCTAGGACAAAGTATGCAGGAGGAGACGCGTGCCAAAGTGGAGATGACTTGGATGGGAAACGAATCACAATAGTGTGCATTGCATTGGCAGTGCACACTGATTAAGCTGTGGTTCATTTTTCATGTCACCCACAAATTCAGCTCTACTGCTCATCTCACTATGCATGTTCCTTACAAATGTGGCATTGTTTAAAGGAGACATTAACAGGTTTAACAGCGTTATGAGATTTACTGTGAAGAATATCACTGAGTATTTGAGGGAACTTTGCTTTCTTGTTTTTATATTTCTTAAAAATAAAGTTTCTGTTTATGACTGAGGTGGCTGAGGAGTAATCTATAATGGGCGGGGCCACCACTGGCCAGACCCCCTGGCTTCCTCATGACACCTGCTGGATTAAAAAAAACTGAATATTTTGCACCGAAAATATTAAGCTTTCCAAACAAAGGTCAGTGTTTAGATTATTTTTATTTTTGTGATTTAATTTCAGTATAATTCTTGTTCTTTCCTCATCCTGAGCCTTCGCTTCGTCTCAAACTGCAGATAGAAAAGTAAATGTTCTTGTTTGTTTCTGAATTCTGTCTCTTTGGAAGGAAAATAAAAAAATAAATGAAGAACTCAGTGTTTGTTCAGAACTGTAGCTTATGTTTTTGTTTACGTTGAAAGAGACCACCTTACTGTTTACATGCAGATAATTTAACGATTTATCCTAAATCAGGACAGTTTCATAAAACTTCATGTCTGTGTAAACCACATCATTAAAACCAAACATTTACAGTTAAAACAGGCAGAATTATAGTTTTCAGCTCTGTTGTATGAAGTCATCTTTGGCTACGTTCACACTGCAGGTAAATACGACCCAAATCTGATTTTTTAACTAACTAAAAAACTAACTTTAAATTTAACTAACTCTGTAAACCAACAGCAGCTGAATGTGACGACACACGTGTGTCACATCAGTGCTGTGTAGAGTTCACACTGGAGTCTGATGCAGGTCACATTTAATGYGAACGTTCACACCAAAAGATCAGATTTGAGCATTAAGACCTGCAGTGTGAACCTTTGTGTTTCAGCTCACAGGTTTTAGTTTTGTTGAGTTGATGTTTCTGCAGGAAGTGTTTGGCTCCTCCAGCAGCTGTTTTCTCTTCATGTTTACAGAAACACGACGAGCGATTTGAAGATGAAATGTTGTTCAGATAAACTCCATCTGCTCATTAATCAGAGACGAATTTCACGTTTAAGCGTTTCTGCTCTCAAACTGCAGCGTTAGATCTGATTTCTTCTGAACAAAAAACAGTTTTAACATCAAACTGATTCGTTGTGAATCAGAGGCCCTGAGCTTCATGTTGCTGCTGTCATTTAATCATTTTTTATTGTTTTATTTAATGAATCAACTTCCTGACTTCAGGTTTAGTAAAACTGCTTTTTTAATTTCACAGTTAAATATTTTCACATTTGTGATTTATGTCCTTAAAGCTTTATTTTTGCAGATTTTTGTCTTCATTAGTTGGTATTTACAATATTCTGTGGCTAAAAACATGACAAAAAGTCACAAATACATATATATTTTTCCATTTTAAAGTTTACTTCTAACGTTTAAAAAAATAAAATTAAAACAACTACAAGATAACAAAATTAAACATTTGAAAAAGAATTATTTCCACTCTTCAAAACTTATTAAAAACAATAAATTCTTCTTTTTTATTCTAAAATAAATGATATAAAGATTGCAATAAGACAAAAACAATAATCTGTTTACCTTCCTTCTAATATATAT